TAAATAGAAACCTTTCCTAATTGCTAGCCTGAAGTTATTTCTGACCGGCTTATGATCCAAGTGATTGTGGGTATGTTCATAGCTGTTCTTTTAAAGATGTTTTAACCATTTGTAACAGTTATTAACGCTTTTTAAAGGCAAAATGTTTATAACTTGTTTCAGGTGAGGCAGGCCGTGATCCAGCTGTAGTAGCTGACGACATGATAGATGCAGTAACTGACTTTGCAAAAAGTAACTCTGCTCCATCTGTGAAAACCATTAAAGTTGTCATCTTTCAGCCACATCTGCTAAGTGTGTTCCATACAAGCATGCAGAAAAGAGAAAGTCGTACTAAAACAAAAGCCAAATCATTGGTTTCCAAGTTCATGTGTAAGTAGATGTCACTTAAATACAGGTTATAGATCAATCTGTTTAGTACCAGCTGATAATGGTTAATATTAATTACAACATTTGTGTATTTCAATGTAGCACTCTGGAGCTCTGAGAAATGTTCGCCAAAGGAAAAAACCAAAGCCATTTTGGAAAAGAAAATTGAGGAGGCTGTTGTGCAGATTTGTGGTGAAAACAAAAAGAAAGTGGAAGAAGCTGAAAACTGGTTGAAAAGTGCAATTTTAAAGGAACAGTTTCAAACAGAAATCATGGATGAGTCTATCTCTCATTTCGGTGAAGCGGAGAGTGAGGAATTGCGTGACCTACAAAAGAAATTAAAAATTGCTCTTCGTTTGAATAGTACCTCTATTCGAATTTCAGGTGTTGAGAAAGATGTCTGGATTGCTTATTCAACTGTTCAAAAAATGATCCACAGGGTAAAAGCTGCTAAACAGGAAGAGATCAGGGCAGAACTTTTACGAAACTTAATTGAGTGGAAATATTTTGAAAATGATTCCTATGTGGCCTTTGACAGTCTCACGAATATGCACTTGGAAAATGCTTTCATGGGAAAGCAGAAAGATATTTCAGTCATCATTGGTGAGAAAAAATACACAGTGAATATAGAAGCTAAGTACGCTGTGGATGACCAAGGAAACTGTACAGCCATTATACGTGTTGATAAATCTGAAGGTAGGTAAAAGCGTCTTGACAGACTGACCTTCCCACGTTAAAACCAGGTTACATCCAGCCTTGTAAGAGTAAGAAATGGTAAGAATGTGCAAAATAGCGTTAGGAGCTTTGTGCAGGTCCATTTCTGGAGAATGTAGAAAAGAACTGAATTGGGAAACGAAAATAAAAGAATCCTTCAGTTATTTAATTTTGTTTTTAAATGTAGGTAGTGCATTCTGAGGTTCTTAACAGACTTACTAACAATAATTAGATGTTTGTATCAGTTGTCATGCTAGGTCTCAGCTCATTTCTGTTCCTGAAATGTACCCTCCTCCGTTTACTTCTGGTCCTTTACAATATAAGGAGCTACGTTTTTCTTATTTATCCATACAGGACTTTGCCCAGCGTATTATTTTTCTTTGTCCTGCTGTGACTCAGTTTTACAGGGGCACGTTTTGTATCTTATGGGAACAACTTTTTTTTTTTGTCTACTTAACACCTGAAAGTGAAAGTAGATGGGTTTAAGTAACTGTGCAGCTCCCAGTGCCTTAAGTAATGCCTCCTGCACATATTTTCAGATTTTTATTTTTTGTTCTCTTACCAAATAATGTCACTTCTAATTGAGGGAACCTACAATACTGGATGTCTGTAGCATATGCATCAGTCAGTGTTACTGTCTGACAATGCAGCTAGATACTAGGCCTCGCATGAAATGAGAGAAGGGAAGAAAGGGAAGACTTCTGCTTTTGAGATGGAGAGTATATTCTCGAACTTTTTAATTAAAAACCTTCGTTGTTCAGATGCTTTGCTCCTAGTCTCCTAGTTGATGAGAATTAACTACTCGGTAAATCTGCATTTGCTCCGTGTCCTTGGAGACTTGATTTGCAGGGAAAGCTACCAGTAAAAGATGTTGCAAAGGATCCCTCTTCAGCTATGAAGAACAGATTTGTCTAGGAACTACCAATTTAGGCACATCAATTTCCAGTGCAGTGGAAAACTAGAAACTACAACGCCCTAATCCTCTGGTAAAAGACCCATGGAATGCTCCTGGCTGACAAAGACCAGTAAGCACTAGTGATAAGCTAGATGTAGGGCTTTTAGAAGGGTTTGTAGCTGGGCATATTTCATTTTAAGCAGAGGATTTGGGGAAATACGATTGATTATGTTTCTTCTGCAGATCAAGAGTCAACAGTGCTCCCTGCAACGTGGGACGATATGCAAAACCAGCGACTCAAATTAGTGGAACTAAAACCAGAAACAAGAGAATATAGAGATGTGCAGGAAAGGTTTCTGAAGACCTGTCAGTCATTAAAAATTGTAAAGGTAAAAGCACGTCATCATTTCTGAGCATAAATACTTCGATAGCAAGTGATGAAGAATATTAATAACAATGGAAAAATAATTTCCACTGGGGTTTCTGAAGTTGGACAAGTCTTTATGGCTGTCACTAACTTTAATCAGCATCAGTTTAATGTTGCAATTGAAGTATTTGGAACAACTCTTAAGCAGTCACTTCTTCAGCACCAAGGGACAGCACATGTTTTGTGCTGTAGTAGAGCACAGCATGTGCTCACTTAAGCCGTGTGTGCTTCGCAGGCAGGCATGTCATCTGTGCCTCAGAAACCTGTGAAACTGGCCTGTGTTGTCTCCCATGGAGCGTTTCAGTCATGTTTTGGGCTGGGTTCTGCTGTCCATCATGCCAAAGTTTGGAGTGATTTGACTAACTTATTTCATAATCTGGTATCCATGCATTGGAGCTAGGAGGAGAATCGCGGAAGCAGATTGAATTGTTGACACACGAATGTTTTTCATGACAGCAACCTACCTACTTTCTTTCTTTCTTCCTGTCTTACTTTCAAATTTTGAAGATTGAAAGGGTACAGAACCCATTTTTTTGGAAGGCCTACCAAATAAAAAAGCGTGAAATGGATAACAAGAATGGCAACAGAAATAATGAGAGGCTTCTGTTTCATGGGACAAGTAAGGAGTCGTTAATCTTAATTAACAACCAAGGATTTAACCGGAGCTATGCTGGAACGCACGGTAACGTACATTTCATAACAACTCTTGTTTTCCTGAATAGGGCTAGGGCTGATCTGCCATGCTACCTGTGTAGTCCTGCCTTGTATTCAAAATTATTTGTTTTGTTAGATCTCCCTATTGCAAATAAAAAGCAAAACTGTCAAGAGATTCACAGGCTCTGAAGATGGCAGATAAGTGATTGCTGCTACTGAAATGCTCACAACCATTTGTTTTTCTGACCACAGCTGCAAGCTTTGGAAATGGAACATACTTTGCTGTTAACGCCAGCTATTCTGCCAGCGACGTCTATTCTAAACCAGATGCGTATGGGAAGAAGTACATGTACTTGGCTCGAGTCCTTGTTGGAGAGTATGCTCAGGGGACAAAAGGATCAATTACTCCAGCAGCAAAAAATGCTCATAACTCTATAGATCTGTTTGATAGTTCAACTGACAACGTGAACCAGCCGTCCATGTTCATCATATTTAATGACATTCAAGCTTACCCAGAATACCTTATCACTTTCACTAAATAAGCATTTTGATTGCAGCCAAGATTGTACGTCATTCAGTCTTTGTGTAGGACAGAAACGCTTATAACAAAATACACAACAAAAACAATAAATAGTTTTATCAAATTAATTTCTGAAAGCTTGTTTATATTTAAGCAACCTCTGGCAATTTCTGGTAGTGCAGAAACAGACTGCTTGTTTACACTCACTTGCATATTTAACACTTGAGCTCAATATTCTACTGAAAACTGCTGTTAGATTCCGTATCAAGCCTTTACGCCGCATTAGCCTTTCCCCCCAGCCTTATGGCCATCCCAGTCACACTAGGAAGCGGGGAGTGCTGGCGGGCGGTTGGAAGGGATCTTCTTTGTTGAAGATCAATGTTGCATTTCTGATGGCTTCTGTAAATGACAGTCTGCATCATGAATACAGTGGCTTTCAATAAATGAACTAATTGTAGTTAATGGTTTGTGTTTGTTTAAACCTCTCCCAACGCTTAGCATTGGTTTTCAATCACTGACCTTCAATGAACTTGGTGTCTCAAATACAGATTTGCTTGGTTTTAATACAATAACCCTCCCTAGCAGGTTAATAAGAGGTTGTACGGAAGGTTATAGAAGTTGCCTGTGTTATTTATATTATTATGTTATTTATATATATGAGACAGGAAAGTAAATTTTGAGGATGTGTTTGTGTTGTCATATACCAGCTGCAACAACCTTCCTGCGATCTTAAGGAGAAATGAATAGAGCAAAGAAAAGCAGAGAGGGGTTTGGGGGTTGCCAAGGTTTAAACAAACAGATTATCTCAAAGGGATGATCATTAACAAGCCAAAGTTCAGAGTTCCATGTTGGAGGGGGGAAGCAAAGCAACATCATCTTTGCAGCATGCTGACAGCATTAAAAAATGTGCCTCTCCCAGCCTTAGATATTATAAGATCTTCCAGTGAAAAAGCAGAGTGGGGCAGCACCTCCACATTCTAAAAATCTTTGAGTCCTCAACCTTCTTCTTTGGTTGGATGATTAAGAGAAAAATCTCCCAATACTTACTTTAAAGTTTTACCGTGGGTTGGTAAGTCCGTATGAGCAATAATCGTTGCAGGGTAAACATTGCCGAGGGATGTGTTTTCTAGGGAAGGTGGTGTGAGATAATGCGAACCTGCGAGCACCTTGGTGGCTGTTCATTCACACCCCACCCCATCGCTCCCTCAGCAACAGGGCTGGAACCGCTCGCTTTGGGCTTTTTTGCTTTCGATTCTGTCAGTTTTCTAACCTCTGAAAAATGCTGACTGTCAAATTCCTAGTGCCTGAAATCAAGATATGGGCGTGGGGGTCAGAAGTCTTAAGTTTTGCTTTAAAAATAACTAGACTTAATCGATCCCTGTAACACATACACGTGGTCACCGGTGTGACGGGAGCTGCAGGTGATGGCACGGGGTGGTTCGCTGCGGCCGGCGGGCCGCTGGTACCGCTCTGAGCGTTCTCTCTGGGAGACAGCAACGCGCCTCTTCTCAGCTTCTCCGTCGCCACAAGAAGCTGTGGAGACCGAGGTGTTTTTTCACCAGTGCTTGCATTTCAGGTGCCGTGGGCATCAAGCACGGGGCAGAAACCTGTAGCACTGGGCTCTGCGCAGGGGATGAGGGAAAGACGCTGCTTCTCCAGATGAGTTTATTATAATCGAAAGACAAGGGAGGAGATGGAAGAGTACAAGGAGACCTTATTCCTCCAGCAGTGCGATGGGCTTCCAGCTCCCAGCACGGGCAGGGAGAGGACATTTGGTAACATGGAGGGAGCGCCTGAGGCAGCTTTGGGTGTTTTCAGAAACTCTGGCGGGAAAAGGAGCGTAAGGGCGTAGGTGTGAAGCTGGGACCGGGGGTCCGGGGAGCCGGTGAGGAGAAGCCGGCCGGGGACAGCTGCGTCGCGACAGACGGCAGCGGAGGAGGCGGGAGAGGCGGGGGCCCCGTCCTGGCGCAGCGCCCGCCTCGGCCCTCGCTCCTCGCTCCTGCTCCTCCGCCAGCCCCGGGCCCCGCCGGCTGCCGGGAAAGGCCCCGGCCGCCCCCCCCCCCCCCGCCCCGCCCGGGAACGAA